TTATGACCACCCGCCTAATATTGAGTAGGTCCCCCTTTTCCTGACCCGCCAAGGCATGGACCCCACAGGACCTCTGAAGGTATGCTGTGGTATCTGGTACCAAGCCTTCAGTAGCAGATCATTTATGTCCTCTAAGTTGTGAAGTGACTTGTTTTTCCAGCACATCCCACAGATTTTTGGATTGAAATCTAGAGAATTTGGAGGCCAAGTCAACACCTTCAACTCGCTGTGTTCCTTAAACCATTCTTGCAGTGTACAGGATGCATTATCCTGCTGAAAGAGGCCACTATTATTGCGCTATTATTGCATTATCCTGCAGAAAGAGGCCACTGCCTTTAGGAAAGTAATATCCACATGTATGGCTGGACTCAAGTTTTCCCAGCAGAACATTGAAAAAGTAATGTGAGCTACAGTAGCTCTTCCATTGGATCTGACTACATGGGCCAGCCTTTACACCCCACGTGCATCAGTGATGAGCCTTGGCCGATATATATAAAATCCAATAGAAGAGCTGCGGTAGCTCAAATTTGCTGAAAAAGTTCATGCTGGATCTGACAGAAAGGTCTGAACACAGGGCATTGCAGTTTGTTGCATATATTACTGCATAGCTACAGACTGGTCGGGGGTGCCCATGCTGACCCGTGTCCACCACCAAAAGCGCCTACAGTGGACATGTGAGAATCAGAACTGGACCACAGAGCAATGGAAGAAGGTGACCTGGTCTGATGAATCATATTTCCTTTTACATTATGTGGATAACCATGTGTAAGTGTGTCGCTTACCTGGGGAAGAGATGGCACAAGGATGTACTGTAGGAAGAAGGTAAGCTGGCAGAGGTAGCTGGGAAACCTTGGGTCCTACCATTCATGTGGAAGTTACTTTGACACGTACTACCTACCTAATCATTGTTGCTGACCAAGTACACCTCCCCTTATGTTATGGGGGATAAGGAAAGGGGAAATTGTTCTGTAGTCCAGCAGGAAGAACTGGGCAGGGCTGATAACATTCTAGTGCAGCAGACAAAGCAGGAATTCAGGCGCTCACTGGATCGCTGGCAGGATCACAAGGTATATTTTGGTGCTTGCAGACCTCTTATAGAGACAAAACATGAGAAAATGTGATTGTATTGCAGAGATGAACTTTTCCCAAAATATGAAAAAATGAAGAGAAGTCTCCCCAGTGAAAGCTGCGATGCCTCCGTCAGCCGGTGTAGTGATCCATACCCTAGACTTGATAGCCCCGCAGTGTGGAATAATCATAACGCTCACAAATGACGAGCACGGTGACATGCCCAGACATACTCGTTAGGACCCATTCACGCCTTTCCGATGCAGTGCATTGTGGGAATGTATGTTAGCATCTTGCATTGCTATTCATTGCCAATAGCACCCTGCACATGACTGCAGCACACCACAACACACAGGGATTCACTATTGTGCGATGTGGAACTCCGCATCAGACACGAAGGTGCAATTCCATGTTTTGGTTTGCTGGGCCATGGTGCGCTGGCAGCTCATTCATTGATTGGGCTGACTTAACATAACAATCATTAATACAATGCACAGGAAAAGACAAATGTGAAAGCAGCCACTCTGTAGTGTAACGCTGAATTATCATAAAGTGTAACAACAAAAAGCACCACACTCACACAAATATATTCTCTTATTACTTCTTTTTAATTCTTACAACTTGCATATATAATACAAAAGAACAAAAATGTCAGTAATATTCCATTTAAACAGATAGTGACCTGTTTTTGGTTTGGGTGCGTTGAGGTTCCACAAAGTAGTCACAGCATCTAGTAAGTCCTACATACTAAAAGTATATTAAAGAATTGTGTTGCCTACAGCAACCAAAACTCTAAATGTTAATTACAACAAATAGAAAGACCTCTGCATGCCTGACTGCCCGTCTCTGCAAACCTGCTGGGAACTGATTTTTAATCTTCAGTGCAAAAACATTTTGAGCTGTACCAAGTGCAGTCAAAAATCATGGGCAACCTTGGCAGTCCAGCTGTTGTGGAGTCTCATGAGGCACTGCGAGACTCTGGCAGCCACACGTATGACTCCCAAAGGCATTATGGGATTTGTAGTCTCCGCACAGCTGGAGTGCTGAGGTTCCCACCCCGTCATACAAGTACATTTGGTGACTTTTGTAGTGGATGGAGCATTCCCTCACTTGTCATGAAGGCAATACAGGAGCCGTTAATTCTGTCCTGCTTTGGAAAACGCAAGGTGCCTGGCTGTTCCTTTCCCCACTTTCTTCACTACATGTAATGAGGGTCAGCATGAAAGCCAGAGAACCAGCATTTCCAGAGACAGGTCAGAAATGGCAGCTCCCGTTTCCTTTATGATAGGCTTGGTTGGGTTACATTAATGTGCACAAGAACCGCCATACAACCTTCATTCAATCAAGCTATGTTCTGTGTTCCCTACCGAACAAACTATCCTCCTGCTTCAAGAATTATTCTCTGTTGTTGGGGAGATTTACCCAACACTGCGCAGTGACTGCTTTGCACTCCTCCTCCTCTGTAGCAGTAGTGGAAATTTGCATATTCTCTCACATGTGCAAAACTGTCCCAAGCCAGACTGGATAAAATATTGTTTTAGATAGAGTTGGGATCAAGTTGTGTCGAGTGTTTAATTTGGGCTGTGACCCTTTAGGGAGATTTCCTCACTTCCTGTCCCTGTGACACCCATACAAGAGTTGAGGGATGTGGTTGTCATGCGGACAGGAAGACAGGGACAGCAATGTAAAACCTTGTCATGCTCTACAATAAAATGTGTTCGGGGAAAGCTCCCCCAATAGGGACACACACACTTCAATGAAAACTTGATAGGGGCTGTAACCCTTCCCCTTTCTATTGGGAATAAAATGTTTTGGCTGAAGTTGAGCTTTAATTGGGGTCAAAACTAAGCAGTAGAAGAGTCTTGTACCATGTTGGCCATAGATCAGTGCAGGGTGAGGGCTTTATTCACATTGGGCGTGTTGCCCCATACAATGGAAAGGAACATTTTGGGGGGTTTTTATGGGCCTGGAGCTGCTGGAAGAAGCATGTGGGCAGCTCCTGTAATGCTACGGAGATGGAGAAGCTCATGTGCTGCTTCCCTCAGCTCCACGTTCTGACAGCCGCACACAGATGGTGTATGGACCTGGATCTATCCTGTCTGCATCCAAGGTCATATACCGCCTGCGTACAGCCGGTGAGGGCGCACAGGTCCTGCGTCTCCATAGACTTGCATGAGCTGCCTGCATACTTCTTCCTGCAGCTCCGGGCGCATCAAAAACAACCCTCCACGCTGTACCTGCGGCCCGTGTGAATGAGGCCTGAGTGATACCCTTTATTGGCTAATTTAAGTCCACAGGGGAATTCCTGAAGACAGACAGACTTTTACGGTACCCATGACTACAAAAGAATCCAATAGAAACAGTATTTATAGTTAAAGATAGCGTATGTTTAAATAATCTTTTACAGAACATACAAATATTTCATGACAAACGTCGTAAGCCACTCCTGAACCCTCAGTCTACTTATCCCTTATAGTGCACCACCTAATTGTATTCCATTAAAATCCAGTTCATGGATACGGAAGAACCCGCCATCGGATTCTTCATACAGAATTATAGTCCACATTTTTACACAACAGGTGGCGATAGGTCAGATATCCGTTGACGCATTTCGCAGCCCATATTGCTTCTTCTGCAGGAGAAAAGCAGATGTTTATTGTAATGCAATGGTCAGTGTGCAACTGCCACACCGAAAACCAGGCTCCCAAGGACAGGCATGGGGCCACATAGGTGTAATCCTTTATGAACAGTCCCATGGAGGGTTCTTCCTCATCTATGATTTGGGAGTTGAATGAAATAAAACTATGTGTTGTGCTATGAGGGCTAAGTAGAGGTTTCAGGGGTTGCTCACTACTTTTGTCGTGAAATATTTTGATGTAATGTAAAAGATTTAAGTGTAAATAATAATATTTCTATTTTTGTTGGATTATTTTGTAGACATGGGTACCTTAAAAGTCCACCTTTCTTCAAACATTCCTCAATGTATTCATGTATTGTGATGTGGTACCCCGCTGTATTCAGTTGCCCGCTTATAGTTGTAATTGGGGGTAACTTAATAAAGATGCAAGCTGTCAGGATTCCTTCATCAGATCCCTTTGACAGGCATAAAGCCTCACGAAGGGATCAAAGATATCTCAGAAGCTTGCATCTTAGAGGAACTTCCTTATCTTACCAATCTTAAAACAAACACACCTTTAGAAATGTTTAGTTATGTCAATCTACAAACGGATATTTAGAGATAACTGCAGGATTTATATTCCTTGCATACCTTCTTTTTCTTTTCCTCCCTAAACGTCTCCTGGTGGCCATTTTTTACTATGGGCAGATGAATACTTCCCATTCCTAGAACTCTGAATCTGCCTCCAGGACCATATGAACAGTTCCCAATATCTCACGGGGAAAGAATGTCTTCCCTTCCCAAGATCCCATGAGATATTGCAGTTTACAGATGAGATTTCCCAGGAAGGCCCTGGTGATGTAGCCTTCCCAGGATGCATCTGTGGGGCCACATCACCAGTGCCTCACTCAACCAGAAAGTGAAAAAGTGTAATTGTAAGTAAAAGCATAACATTTTTGTTTAACTAATGAATGTCAGGTGATTCTATATCAGCAAGCAGAGCTGAATTCTGATGTGATTTTTAGTGGAAGGGGGTAAAAGTTCGCTTGAAGTTAGCCAATAACGGGTACACTTCAACTGGTCATAATCAAGCGAATGGTAGACGGCGTCTACAAAAAGTTTTCCCCACTGGGTGACAGTTGCGCACAGAATTCTTTGCTACACGATTGTGCTTAGTTGTAACAAGGAAAAATGGTTGACTGGAACGGTAAAGAACAAAATCTACAGGACAATGTCCTCAGCATTAACCCATGAGATGCCAGGCTGAGCAAATTCTGCAAAGACTGCTTCCGCTATTGCCGCCGGTTATCACATCTACATAGAAGTTTCAGTGCACTTGGCTCTGGCAGCATGATAAGCTTGTAGAAAAGTTCTCACATACTGGAGAGTCTTCCCACCGACATCCACCCTTCAACTGCTGTACAGCACGGACTCCTCCGATGGACAGGACGTGAAACTAATGCGATGCATGCAAGTAAGAGTGCTGTAGGACATTAACAGGGTGGGGGAGGACACGACGTCCTTGGGTAGGTCTCCTGTGGTGCATTAGGTGTCTGAATCCTCCTCTTCTTCCTCCTCCTCCTCCTCCATCTCCTCATCATTATAATCCAGTGTGTCCAGCTGCAGCTGAGTTTGATTGATCACAGTTTCGTCATCCACATTCTTGGTATCCTGCGGGATAACAGAAGAAGAAGACGACTGTCAGCTGTACACAGTCACTGATGGTGGAAACGATTATCTATTTCATTTTGGGTCAGTACATATTACTGCATATCAAGAAGTCTCTTATAGGTTTATTTATTACAGGCATTTATATAGCGCCGACAATTTACAAACCGTTCATTCACATCAGTCCCTGCCCTCAAGGAGCTTGCAATCTAAAGGTGACCATACACTTTACAACCCTTGCAAGACTTTTGTCTTGTGAGGGTTGTAAAGTAATTAAAAAAACGTACAATCTGCCCATCTTGGACAGGCAGATCGTACTTGCGATAATCGTAAGCCCGCCCTCTTGAGGGGCGGGCTTCCGATGACTGCAATGAGGGGCGGACTTCCGGTGACTGCAAACGGGCAGTGTGCATGTGCGCACACCGGCCCGTTCGGCAGTTACCAAACATGCAGGCCACTAACCCGCCGAGAATCTTACGATTACCAGCGGGTTTTCCAGCCTGCTTGTTCGACGGAAGACGTGCGACCGTACAGTAGAAATGGACGCACGCCTTCCATACACTTTGCTATTATCGTACGATTGCGGGATTTCCCGCGATTCTCGTACAGTGTATGGGCACCTTAAGGTCTATATCTTACATGCATGCAAACTAGGGCCAATGTAGACAGGAGCCAATTAATCTGCCAGCATGTCTTTGGAGTGTGGAAGGAAACCAAAGCACCTGCTGGAAACCCATGCAAGCCAAAGGAGAACATGCAAACTCCATGCAGATACTGTCCTCTTCACCATTCAAACCGCGGACCCCCAATGCTGACCACTAAGCCATAGTTTAAAATTGCTCAGCGCTGAGAGAAATATGGAAACAAATTCCCAACTTGATTTTTATATAGAAGATCGCAGTGCTTAAAGTGAGACAAGTAGATATCCATCTTGTGACTTCTTATGCACAACCTGGCCACCAGTGAGGAACGACATGGGTAACTATCCAGTTGGAAGTGTACTCCTGGCTGTCTCTCCCCCCTCTCTCCTGGCTGTCTCTCCCCACTCTCTCCTGGCTGTCTCTCCCCACTCTCTCCTGGCTGTCTATCGCCTGGCTCATCTTGCTGTATTTTGCAAACAGTGTATTGCAATGGGCTGTGTAAACTAATATTCTTTGATGTAATAGATAGCACTTCAACCACCAGAAAGGTGTCAGAGAGCTTGGCTCAGCAGACACAGGCTAATAGGTAATCATGTGTGCACAGCGAAATAAATACAGGTGAAACTCGAATAATTAGAATATCGTGCAAAGTTCATTTATTTCACTAATGCAACTTAAAAGGTGAAACTAATATATGAGATAGACTCATTACATGCAAAGCAAGAGAGTTCAAGCCGTGATTTGTCATAATTGCGATGATTATGGCTTACAGCTCATGAAAACCCCAAGAACCCCAAATCCACAACCTCAAAAAAGTAGATCATTACATGCAATCAATAAAACAAGGATTGTACATAGAACAATATCGGACCTCTGAAAAGTACAAGCATGCATATGTACTCAGTACTTGGTTTGGGCCCCTTTTGCAGCACTTACTGCAATTACTTTTGCACGATATTCTAATTATTCGAGTTTCACCTGTATACCAAAATGGAATAAAGGGGCCGCCATTCACACTCTTTGTGATCTACCAGCATCAGCTTTGAGAGCTACTGGTAGATCACGATCTACCTAATGAGCACCACTGGGCTAGAGTGTTCACTGTTAGCTGTACAATATGTATAAACAGTAACTCACCACCTGAGGCTGCTCCTCTTGAAGATCCTGGTCTTCTCCAGCGCTTATCATGGACTGAAGAGCCAGTTCCTCAACCTGAAAGATCAATGTAGTGACATTATTATAATTTTACTCTGTAATTATACTAAGAAAAGGAAAGGTAGAATGTAACAACCTCGCATTTAAAATGAAGCATATCGTACAGACCACGGGTAGGCAATCGTGGCCCTCCAGCTGTTGTGGAACTACAAGTCCCATAAGGCATTGCAATGCTGACAGCTACAGGCATGACTCCCAGAGGCAGGTGCATGGTGGGATTTGTAGTACCACTACAGCTGGAGTGCTGCGATTGTCTACCCCCAATATACTAGCAATAAGAGAAACTGTAAAAAAAAAAAAAAGTGGCAAAAGGAAAAGATTAGTGGAGATAAATGTAGAGCTGGTAAAATATTGAAGGTCAGAGACAGGTGACAATAGGGCAGCAGGTGGAGCCGATGATGACAGGAGACAAAAAACGGAATCCAGTACCCCCGATTGGAAAAAAAAACGGGCAGCATCTTTATCTTTCATGTATAGGAGTAGAAATATAACACAACATATAGGTGTAATGCAATATTTAAAAAGTGATCTAGTGTTGATGAATAGAAAGGATGAGGAGAAATGGATTGCATTTACTCTACGTCATGCTTTGTTTACTGCATTTTGAACTGGCAATGGCGGGAATGTGACGTCAATGCTGGGAATGTAATGTTAGAGGGTGTGGGAGTGGTGATGGTTTTCCTTATTTGTGTGTGTTCATATAAAGGTTGTGGTCCTGTAGCATATACAGTCATCTCTGACCCTGATGGAGGCCCTGCGCGGCCCCAAAAGCGCTTGACATTTAAGTGACATCAATTAAAATGTATTTGCACTGACTTGGAAATTGTCGTGCTGGTGTGCTGATGTCATCTTTATTCAAAGTTATAAGGGAAGGGAGAGCGCACTTCTCATGTGTGGTTTGTGGATGAGCAACACAGCAGCTCCACGCTTGTTCCTGTGATGGAGGCCTGCTCAGAGTACCAGCTGTCCTAACTTGCATGGAATCATTCACAATGCCACGTTATTGGCCAGGCTTTGTGGAAGCCACTGCTGGCCTACAGGCATGTCATTTAAAGAAAGCTCAATATCTCTGCACTGCACCAGGATGAGTAAAATACTGGGGCCCTATGACTGCATGGCAAATCTTATAAGAGATCACTGGCCCTGCACCCTGGCATAGGATTTTATGTAGGATCTCGCTGGCAGTAAGGTCCTGTGTACAATCTTGTTCTGCAAGATGGATACATGTAACGTTTATGCTAATATTTACTAGTGTACAGCGTAAATGTACCTTATTGGATGCTAGGATGCAGGTAGATCCTGCCGCCTAGGTTGCTAGGACACAGATGGCCCCTTCCACCTAGCATCCTAGGTTGCTAGGACACAGATGGCCCCTTCCACCTAGCATCCTAGGTTGCTAGGACACAGATGGCCCCTTCCACCTAGCATCCTAATTTGCTAGGCCCATTCCCCCTGGCATCCTAGGTTACTGGGACACAGATGGCCCCTTCCACCTAGCATTTTAGGTTAGTAGGACACAGATAGCCCATTCCCCCTGGCATCCTAGGTTACTGGGACACAGATAGCAACCTAGGATGCTAGGTGGAAGGGGTCATCTGTGTCCTAGTAACCTAAGATGCTAGGTGGAAGGGGCCATCTGTGTCCCAGTAACCTAGGATGCCAGGGGGAATGGGCCTAGCAAATTAGGATGCTAGATGGAAGGGGCCATCTGTGTCTTAGCAACCTGGGATGCTAGGTGGAAGGGGCTAGGACACAGATGGCCCCTTCCATCTAGCATCCTAATTTGCTAGGCCCATTCCCCCTGGCATCCTAGGTTAGTGGGACACAGATGGCCCCTTCCACCTAGCATCTTAGGTTACTAGGACACAGATGACCCCTTCCACCTAGCATTTTAGGTTACTAGGACACAGATAGCCCATTCCCCCTGGCATCCTAGGTTAGTGGGACACAGATGGCCCCTTCCACCTAGCATCTTAGGTTACTAGGACACAGATGACCCCTTCCACCTAGCATTTTAGGTTACTAGGACACAGATGACCCCTTCCACCTAGCATCTTAGGTTACTAAGACACAGATGGCCCCTTCCACCTAGCATCTTAGGTTACTAGGACACCGATGACCCCTTCCACCTAGCATCTTAGGTTACTAGGACACCGAAGACCCCTTCCACCTAGCATCTTAGGTTACTAGGACACAGATGACCCCTTCCACCTAGCATCTTAGGTTACTAGGACAAAGATGACCCCTTCCACCTAGCATCTTAGGTTACTAAGACACAGATGGCCCCTTCCACCTAGCATCTTAGGTTACTAGGACACAGATGGCCCCTTCCACCTAGCATCTAAGGTTACTAGGACACAGATAGCCCCTTCCACCTAGCATCCTAGGTTACTAAGACACAGATAGCCCCTTCCACCTAGCATCCTAGGTTACTGGGACACAGATGGCCCCTTCCACCTAGCATCTTAGGTTACTAGGACACAGATGGCCCCTTCCACCTAGGTTGCTAAGAAAGAGATGGCACCTACCACTTAAGATCCTAGGACATAGATGACACTTCCCTCCAAGCTTCCTAGGAGACTAGGACACAGACCCCCATCACAGCTGACATCTAAAGGTGAACAAACCATTTTATATGATCCGGAGCCAACAGCGATGTGGTGCAGGTCATAGACATGGCCATGGCATGTAGCACTGGGGGGCTGTTTTGTGTTTCAGTGTAAAACTAAAGCAGGCATTCTACTACTACCTCTATATGTCTAATATTTAATGACAGATCACCATTCCAGGAATAAGAGAACCTCAGCCATTGTCACAGTTCTCATTGTCAGTGTATGCCTATAACGATGAATCAAATACACAGGGGACATTTCTCAGCACATTGCCCACTTCCCATATAACCCCATCCAAAGAATCTCAGCAGCTGCCCCCCGGTGCCCTCCGACCTTCAACCTGTTGAGTTGGTCGTGCAGGGCCGCCTTGATCTTCAGCAGAGTCTCCTCCTCCTTCTTCAGCTCCTGCAGACGACTCAGCATTCTGCTCGGTGCACCGGATCACCGCCTTGGCCGCCCCATTACCAGAAATGCGACCACTACACTCTCACAATATCTGTCACGATTATCGGACCGTCATCTCCCCGCGCGGAGTCCCGTGATTAAACGTCACAGGTTTCACGCCGCCATGTTTACTGCTGGCGACGGTGGATTCATGTGTGTCACGTGGTAGTTCGGAGCCGGAATAGCGCCACCTGCTGGCTGCGAGTGGAAAAACCCGCGCACTGAGAGCCAAGCCAACCGCATACTTAGCTGATATTTTCCTTAATGACTAATGAAAACGAATACAAAATATCATATTTTTATTTCTGTTAGCAAAAAATAACTAATTAAGACTTTGGAAGATTTTTGTAATTATTGTTAATAAATGAGATACGCCTTTCTCAAGCCAGGGTGCTGTGGAGGCCTGGGGTTCCTCCAGAGGTGGCTAGGGGTTCCTTGACCCCCAGCGATGGCAAAATCATTCCCACCTAACAGTGTCTGCACAGGCATCACTCGGCAAAGCTGGTGGTGTGGGACCAGTAGAGGATGTCCTCATGTTCCCAGAAGTAATCACAGATACTGCTGATCTCTTAGCTGCCTGTAAATGGGGCATCCTTCTCACTCACCCCCAATGTAAGAGGGTATACTTCCCACTGACCCACAATGTAAGAGGGTATCCTTCCCACTGACCCACAATGTAAGAGGGTATCCTTCCCACAATGTAAGAGGGTATCCTTTCCACTGACACACAATGTAAGAGGGTATCCTTTTAGGACACAGATAGCCCCTTCCACCTAGCATCCTAGGTTACTAAGACACAGATAGCCCCTTCCACCTAGCATCCTAGGTTACTGGGACACAGATGGCCCCTTCCACCTAGCATCTTAGGTTACTAGGACACAGATGGCCCCTTCCACCTAGGTTGCTAAGAAAGAGATGGCACCTACCACTTAAGATCCTAGGACATAGATGACACTTCCCTCCAAGCTTCCTAGGAGACTAGGACACAGACCCCCATCACAGCTGACATCTAAAGGTGAACAAACCATTTTATATGATCCGGAGCCAACAGCGATGTGGTGCAGGTCATAGACATGGCCATGGCATGTAGCACTGGGGGGCTGTTTTGTGTTTCAGTGTAAAACTAAAGCAGGCATTCTACTACTACCTCTATATGTCTAATATTTAATGACAGATCACCATTCCAGGAATAAGAGAACCTCAGCCATTGTCACAGTTCTCATTGTCAGTGTATGCCTATAACGATGAATCAAATACACAGGGGACATTTCTCAGCACATTGCCCACTTCCCATATAACCCCATCCAAAGAATCTCAGCAGCTGCCCCCCGGTGCCCTCCGACCTTCAACCTGTTGAGTTGGTCGTGCAGGGCCGCCTTGATCTTCAGCAGAGTCTCCTCCTCCTTCTTCAGCTCCTGCAGACGACTCAGCATTCTGCTCGGTGCACCGGATCACCGCCTTGGCCGCCCCATTACCAGAAATGCGACCACTACACTCTCACAATATCTGTCACGATTATCGGACCGTCATCTCCCCGCGCGGAGTCCCGTGATTAAACGTCACAGGTTTCACGCCGCCATGTTTACTGCTGGCGACGGTGGATTCATGTGTGTCACGTGGTAGTTCGGAGCCGGAATAGCGCCACCTGCTGGCTGCGAGTGGAAAAACCCGCGCACTGAGAGCCAAGCCAACCGCATACTTAGCTGATATTTTCCTTAATGACTAATGAAAACGAATACAAAATATCATATTTTTATTTCTGTTAGCAAAAAATAACTAATTAAGACTTTGGAAGATTTTTGTAATTATTGTTAATAAATGAGATACGCCTTTCTCAAGCCAGGGTGCTGTGGAGGCCTGGGGTTCCTCCAGAGGTGGCTAGGGGTTCCTTGACCCCCAGCGATGGCAAAATCATTCCCACCTAACAGTGTCTGCACAGGCATCACTCGGCAAAGCTGGTGGTGTGGGACCAGTAGAGGATGTCCTCATGTTCCCAGAAGTAATCACAGATACTGCTGATCTCTTAGCTGCCTGTAAATGGGGCATCCTTCTCACTCACCCCCAATGTAAGAGGGTATACTTCCCACTGACCCACAATGTAAGAGGGTATCCTTCCCACTGACCCACAATGTAAGAGGGTATCCTTCCCACAATGTAAGAGGGTATCCTTTCCACTGACACACAATGTAAGAGGGTATCCTTCCCACTGACCCACAATGTAAGAGGGTATCCTTCCCACTGACCCACAATGTAAGAGGGTATCCTTCCCACAATGTAAGAGGGTATCCTTCCCACTGACACACAATGTAAGAGGGTATCCTTCCCACTGACACACAATGTAAGAGGGTATCCTTCCCACTGACACACAATATAAGGGGGTATCCTTCCCACTAACACACTGTAAGGGAGCATCCTTCTTGCTGTCCCACAATGTAAGGGAGCATCCTTCTCGCTGTCCCACAATGTAAGGGAGCATCCTTCTCACTGTCCCCCAATGTAAGAGGTATTCTTCTCACTGACCCCCAATGTAAGAGGGTATCCTTCTCACTTACACACAATGTAAGGGAGCATCCTACTGACCTCCAGTATAACATCATACTTTTTCCCTGGCCACTTTGTTTACCAACAGAAAGAAGCTGGCGGGATCAATTACCTTTTTTTCTCTGTGCGACTTCACATGCAGATTTTAGGTATCCCCCCAGGAGGGGCTCAAAATTTTAAGTCCTGAGTTACTAGCCAGGGCTTAAGAGTTACTCGCCACCAGTTGCCCCACCTAACCCCTACCCTGCCCAGACCTTAAGTCCACCCCTAAACATACCCTCTTAAATTATCTTATGATAATTCTTATCTTATGATAGTTGCCGCTTGTAAACGGCAGATTAGGGATTCCTGCTGCAGAAAAACGCAAGTTCCAGATGCAGGAATCCCTAAAATGGTAGGAATGGCGAGCGCACAACAGGTGAAAATTTATGGAAAGCTTTATGAAAAGGAAGAATCAAATACGAACACAAAAATGTTTCTGTTTGACAACAGAGTTTGGACATTTCGGTGCAAAAAACCGAAGTGCCTCACCTGCCAATTTATTCATCATGGTCAAACAACATTCAGAGACCATGCCAACAATGTCTACAATATCAGACAATTTATCACATGTACACACGACCATGTGGTTTATGGACTAATTTGCCCTTGCGGTTTGAGGTATGTCGGACGGACCATACGTCCTCTACGCAAACGCATTGGAGAACATAGACGCTTCATAGAAAAATGAGATACTGAGCATAGTGTCCCACGGCATTTTACAGCCAAACACCACAAAAACATTCACGCCCTGCATGTGTTTGCCATAGAACACATACCCACTCACCTAACACCCTCCGAGCGCTTTCGACTCTTATGCAAGAGAGACATTTTGGATATACAAACTGAACACCTTAGTACCAACTGGACTTAATGAAGATCTTGAAATACAAACCATTCTGTAAAAATAATATTTTATATATAAAAAATCTTTTAACCCATCAGACCCTGGGTACCATACATACATAGGAGTTGCTTCTGCAAACACACCATTCACTCCCTAACAACACAATTAGAACGTCAATAAGGATAGGACAGAAGTAATATGATAATATATATAACATATCATTTTAAAATAAAGTCCTTCTACCTTTTGTCCTATGGTTTTAAACACATTTTTATAACATCCACTTTTTTAAACATACAATTTACACATAGAATAGAACCACATGAATATATAATTCTATTGCTACAATTAGCGATCTACCTGTCTAAAATAACGCCATAGCAGGTTTCTTCTTACAAAATGTTTTAATTTAATGATTGGATGTTATTAAACGTTTTCCATGCAACATATGCTGGTTTTAAACAGTTCCAATCCTACACACACATATACAAGATCATTTTCGCATCAGCGGCTTCTAAGCCGTCGATCAGCAGCCTTGTGCAACCCTCTATTCAGGACTGACCAATGGCAGCCGCTCACGATCGTAAACCACGCCCACCTGTAATTTTTTAAAAACCGCTGCATTTGCCGCCCGCTTCAGGGAATTATTCCTGGTTTGACAAAGAGGTATAGAGCCTCGAAACGCGTAGCCAAACCAACCACTTCACGGACTGCAGGGTCCCTCAGCCTGGTGCCCGCTCCTGAACCTCTTCCACAACGACCGCCGACCCTCTGCTAGATCGCTATATAGCGGCACTTCTGCTCCCGTTCAGCCGACGAGTGGCAGCCTGGCCAGCTGTGCTCTCACTGCACCTGACGGAGAGTGTCTGAAATATACATCCCGCTCGCACGGACCCACCAGTCACATCTATCACTCCTCAACACCCATGGACCCAGTAGTAGCTGTGTAGCCCGGTGCTCACATCCACACAGACCAGCCATAGATGCCGCCCTGCGATCCAAGCCGACATACAGCCATCACTTTTCAACGGCAAGACACCACCTCGTCCGTCCAAAAGTGAGTCTGCATCGAGATTTATACAAAGTTTCAAAACTGTTTAACAATAAGAATCCTAGGGTTGTAGCGCTTCTTTCTTTGTGTCTTTTAGGAATCCCTATATAATCACAGCACTCCCTTCCCCTTAACCCCCCTCCACAAAATAATAATACACTCCCCTCCCCGCGAGCCCCCTCACCTGTTCACGGCTTTGCAGGGAGGAGGCTTGAGGAGGATCGGTCCACAGTTATCTAGGGGTGATTAGCGAGATCTGCAGACCTCACTAATACATCCCTGCATTCGGCCAGAGCTCAGAACTGTCAAAGCTCCAGCCAAAGGAAGCCGGAGCCGACAGGGGCAGCTCTGCGGTCTGCATCTGAAACAGATGCAGACCATGGAGCTTCTCCCACAAGTCAGGAACACAGCAGCTGTCTGCGGGCCACATAGTACCGTCTCGCAGACCGGTACTTGGAGACCCAAATTTCCACTTTATTTTTACTCGCAAAATGCGAGCAGGCGAGTGGAAATTTTGAGCCCTGCCCCCAGGTATGTTATTTGAAGCCTTAAAGGAGAACTATGGGGTTAAGGCTTTTCCCCATAGTTCTCCTTAGGGTAACAGGAGGACACAAACT